AGTGCCACAGCTTATCCCGGAATAACCTGTTGGAAAAGGCTTCCCGGATCCCCCAGTCCCCGATGGGGTCTCCCGACCCCCCAGCCTATGCTGGTCTCCTCCAGGACCCCGGTCCCAAACCAAAGGTCAGGACCCTGCCTCCCTAGTTCCTCCGGATAGTCTCCCGCGCTAACCGCCCGCCCGCGGGCTGGCCCCTGACACGCAGTTGCTCAGGTAACCCAGGCCTGCGGCGGCGGCGGCGGCGGCAGTAGCTGCCCTGCCCTGATCTCCAGGCCGCGGTGCTGCTCCACTCGCCTCAGCTCTAGAGCCAGGCTGACAGAAGTCCCGACACAACGACAGCACCCATGGAGCCGCCTGAGGCGACAAAAAGACCGTCTGGGTTTGGCCGGGGGGGCGCGCTACCAGCCCCCCACTCTCAACCGGCCTTTCAGACTCCGCCCTCCCGCCGCTCCTCACAACCAATCAGCTTCCGCCTCTCTGCGACTTGGGAACCCGCGCGCTCCGTCTCCCGTGCGCAGCGGCCCCTGGTGAGCAAATCTAGGTAGTGAAGGCAGGACAAGCTCCTGGGAGGCCCTGCCCCTTTGCAGAGGGTTAGAGAGTGAAGGGAGGACCCGCCTCCATTAGGGCCAGTGAGCATTTATTTTCAGAGGAAATTATGACGAAAGCAAAGTGAAATATCCAGACCCTGTATGTAAAATCCGCCTACACATATATTGAGTCTGAGCTAAAAGCGTTCTGAACACACCCTAACTAACCCTCCAAGTTAAGTTGGATGCCCTCGCTTTCCTACCTGCCTCGTTTTCCTACCTGCCTCTCAAGCCCCCCACCCCTTGAGGTTTTTGCGGGTGTGGCCTGTGGCTGGTTCCTCCCTGCCTCTCGCTCTCCCAGCTCTCAAAGTCAGTTGAAAGCAAGTGGCAGCGACTTGAGAACCAGTGCCCCAAAGAGAGCCTCATCTGGGCCTCCTTCAACAAAGCCTGCACTTCCTGTTCTTTTCTCAAGCACACTATCAGCAGATCTTTACTGAAATCTCCTCTGTGCCCTACCCTGTCCTTGGCACCCAAGGCAGAGAAGGGTTTAGACCCAGTCTCTTCTCTGACTGACAGTGCTAAACTACTCCTGTTTTGAGCAAGCCCTTTGAAGACCAGGACACGGATTTGCCCAACAGCTGCCTGGCTTAAGAGTTAGGCTGTTGATATAAAAATACATGTCTAACGTCATCTATTACTATGCTCCCCACTCTCTTAAGCTCCCATCACACTGAGTTGTTTTGTTGATGTTTCTGTTTGTTTGTTTGTTTCAGTGCTGGGGATCAAATGGTCTTGAGCATGCTAGGCAAGCACTGTACCACTGAACTACATACCCCCAGCCCATGTCCTTCTTTAAGTTTCCCAAACAAAGCCACCTCACAGCCTGTGTTTCTGCTGTAGCTTCTGCAGGGGAGGCTTTTCATATAACTAGGTGGCCTCCCATTCTTCCAGACACAGTTCGATGTCTGAAAGCTTAGAAACTCCTACCCTAACCACCCCCTCAAAATCAGTCTGTGGTCAGAGTTGGACCATAGGTATGTGTAGTCATTCTTGTCTGTGACACTTGGATCCAGCCATAGACTTTGCACATATCAGGTACTCAGTAAAAGTTGGTTGTCATGCATTAGTTCATTTGAGCACTTTTTTTTTTTTCTCAGTACTAGGGATTGAGCCCAAGGGTGCTCTACCAGTAAGCTACATCCCCAGACCTTTTTAAAATTTTTATTTTGAAACAGGTTCACACTAAATTGCTGAAGCGGCCTTGAACTTATGATTCTCCTGCCTCAGCCTCCCAAGTCTCTCAGCTTGTGCCATGACTTGCAGATCACTCAAATATTTATTGAATAACAGCTATGTGCCGGAAAATTGGCCATGCTAGAAGTCAAACCCATTATCTAGATTCAACTAATCCTAGACTCTGAGCAAGGAGTCTTAAACTACAAAAGGAGCAACTAGGTTATATGATTGAGAGAAGTAGGTGAGAGTAATAGGGAGTAGTGAGGATTGTGGACTGGTGAGCAGACAGGAAGGTAGGACCACTGTTGACCGATTTGTAAGTAAGTAAGAAGATAGAAATCTGAACTTTTTGGGACTGGGGATGTGGCTCAAGTGGTAGCGCGCTCGCCTGGCATGCGTGCGCCCCGGGTTCGATCCTCAGCACCACATACCAACAAAGATGTTGTGTCCTCCGAGAACTAAAAAATAAATATTAAAAAAAAAAATTCTCTGTCTCTCCTCTCTCTTTAAAAAAAAAAAAAAGTATCACTGGAAATCATTTAAAAAAAAAAAAAGAAATCTGAACTTTTATATGACAAATTCTTTTTGTAATATTGTACAACAAACTACAAAACCCAGGGCTGGGGATGTAGTTCAGTTTAGTGCTTGTGCTTTTCACGCACAAAGCCCAGCACCATGAAAATAAATAAAATATAAAACCCTTTATAGGAATTTCTGGGATTATAGGCAAGTGCCATTGCACCCAGCCTAAACTGACTTTCTTTATTAATATTTTTTTTTAGTTGTAGATGGACACAATACCTTTATTTTTGCTTATTTGTTTTTTTATGTGGTGCTGGGGATCAAACCCAGTCCCTTGTGCTGCTAGGCAAGCACTCTACCACTGAGCCATAACCCCAGCCCTAATATCTCATTCTTAATGTGGATCTCTAGATTTTGAATTTTTACTACTTATTTCCACAAAGAATCAATTAGGTTTGATAATTTTATAAGTACTTTTAAAGAAACAGTGCAAGAGTTTAATAGGTAGTGTTTTTAAGTTACTTAATAAAATTTTTATCTATTTTTAATTGTGTGGGGCTCGGTAAATCAAATCACTTCTAATATGCATGGAAGTTTGATTCTTATGTAGTTTTTTATTTTGTGCTTAGCAGGTCATTGAAAACAATTGTTGATTGTTGGAATTTCTTACTGGTCATGTGGCAGGTTTTAGATATCCCTCCTTCATTTATATATGTCATCATTTCTTATGGGTAAAATTGCTTTGTAAAAAAGTGCATGGAAGTTTATTTCACTTTCTTGGGTAATAACAAGTTGCCATCAATTTGTAAGTTTGTAAAGTTTTTTTTTAAATCCTTTATATGCCACATCAAACACATCTGCAGCCCAGATTAATCACTCAGACTGCCAGTTTGTTGTTTCTGCTTAAGCCACCTACCTGTGCACTCATTTGGTTAAGAGAACATGCAAGAAAAGAACAAAGTAAAACATGCTTAACCCAATTTCCCTCAAATTTGCATCATTTCTCTTAGCCACTGTGTAATTTCTTTGGGGGTATAAGTCATAACCTATTTGGTACAGAAACCCTGTCTTAGAAGCAAGAAACCAGGGTTACCCTGGTTCACACCAAAACCTTAAACTTCTCAGAGCCTGTTGTATTTCCTGTGAGGCTAAAATGTGTCTAGGAACTAAAAATAGTATTACCAAATGATCCAGCAATTCTAATTTGTGTATATACTTTTGGGCAAAAAATATGAAAGCAGGGTCTCAAATATTTGTATAACCATATTCATAGCAGCATTGTTCATGATAGTGAAAAGGTAGAAGTAATCCAAGTGTCCATTGATAGATGAAAGAATACACAAAATATTTTTATATAAATATAGATATAGATATATACATATACACACATATGTGATAGAATATTATGCAGTCATATAAAGGAAGGGAATTCTGGGCTGCATAGGTAGCTCAGTGGTAAAGCACTTGCCTAGCACACACAAGCCCCTGGGTTTGATCCCTAGCACCTCCACACACATATACACAAAAAAGTGTTGCCAGGCATGGTGGCACAGGCCTGTTATCTCAGCTACTCAGGAAGCTAAAGCAGTAGGATCACAAATTTCAAGGCTGGCCTAAGCAACTTAGTGAGACCCTGTCTTGAAATTTTTAAAGGACTGGGGCTGCAGCTAGGTGGTAGAATTCTTGCCTAACATGTTCAAGGCCCTGGATTTAATCCCAGAACCACAAAAAAAAGTGGTGAGGAAAGGAAATTCTTTATTTTATTTTTATTTTTTTAAATAAATCTTTATTTTATTTATTTATTTTTATGTGGTGTTTTTTTTTTAAAGAAGTACCAGGGAT